CCAGTGACTTGCTGAAGGCACAGGGCCACAGGGCAGCTCGTGCAATTAATCTCTTGCATTATATAGAGGTAATTGTTCTGATTTTATGTCCATTGAAGCATGGACCTTGGCCACAGCATTTGGTATAAGGACAAAGTTCAATGTTTATGGCTTTACTTTTTTAAAGCTGACTTGTGCAACAAAAGGAAATATTTCCTAGAATCAAGGTTTTACCAATTTAAGGACGGTGGGTTGCTCTGAAGGGTCAGGGTTAATTTCTTAATAATAAATGGGTTTCCTAAATAATAGTAAAAACCAATATCAAAATTGTGTTTGTGCTAGTTAAATCTGACATGTATTTATATATGTATTTTGAAGACTGTTGGTCCACTTCTGAACATTTCTTGGTGCCAGAAGAAGTATTCCATCTCTTTCTTTCTAACCTGTGCTTTGATGTCTGATACATGGTGAGGGTCCACTATATGTTGATTGAATTTTTTTTTTTCCTGTCAGAAGTTTATACTTAGTGTGAACTGAATTAGTCATTTTGACCCTCAATAGTCAATATATTTTAGGATGGATATAACATTATATATTCAGTAGTGCTTCTTTGGACATCTAATTTTATAATTTTCAGATATTGTATGCCTTACTAAAGAGCCCCTAAGCTGGTACCTGCTCTCTTATAACACAGATCTTCATCTTAGGAACCACTGTTGGTTCCATGTAACTTTTTTTTTGGTTTTGTTATAGCACATGTGTATCTAACAGTTTAAGAAATAAAACTTCATAGAAATAGTCAAATTCTCTTGTGTATCCCTCCCTGATTTCATTACCCCACCAACGCCTGAAACTGCTACTCTGATTTTGATATTTGTTATTTTTACATGGAAAAAATATCCTCGGGTGAAGATTTAAAAAACAAAAAAAGAGTAAAAGGGAAAAGATTCTTCCTTAAGGTGGAATGCCAAATAACAAATGTGGAAGATATGAAGAGTGAGACAATAGTATTTTAAAAGGCACATAGTCCCAATTTATTCAGACAAGAATCATCGATCGATGCTAGTACCATTGGATAAGAGTTTGAGGAGTAGGATACTTCTGTAGTCTTAAAGTATCTTCCCTTTATAGATAGTTACAGATAACACATATTTACTTATTAATCAAAAAGAAGAAAATGGTAACTTTACAGTGGAGAAACCTGGTAAGCACTAACTACCTTAAGCCAAGTGATCAAAGTTAAACATCACCAATACGGGACTAACTATAATGTGCCTCCCATATGATGTACTGAGAAGGATGCAGCATGACTCTCACAGCGTTTCTGCCAAAAGTGTATACAACCTGCCTCTAATCATGAAGAGACATCAGATTAACCCGAATTAAGAGATATTCTGCAAAATATGTCTTGTACTCTTAAAAAAATGTCAATACCTTTGAAAAACAAAGAAAGGCTGAGAAACCTTTTCATATTAAAGGAGACTAAAGAGACTTGACCTGCAAATATAGTGTATGATCCTGGGTTGCAGCCTAGACCAGAAATAAAAATCCTATGAGGGATATTACTGGGCCTATTGTCAAAATTTAAATAAGGTCTGTAAATCAGATACTACTAGTGTTGCCGTAATGTAAATTACTGACATTGTCCTGATTTTGATAAGTATATTGTGGGTAAATAAGAGAAACTCCTTGTCCAAAGGAAATCTCCTGAAATATTTGGGGGTAAAAGGGTATGATGTCTACAATTCTCAAATGGTTCAGAAAAAGGTATCTTTTTATACTTACAGAGATAGACCAATAAGACAAATGTGTCAGAATGTTGCCAATTTGTAATTCTGGGTGAAGTGAACTATTGTTGCAACTTTTAAAAAAATTCTTAATCCTTACCTGAGGATATTTTTTCCATTGCTTTTCAGAGAGAGTGGAAGGGAGAGAGAGAGAAAAACATCGATGTGATAGAGACACATCACTTGGTTGCCTCCCGGGGCCGGGAATTGAGCCTGCAACCGAGGTATGTGCCCTTGGCTGGAATCAAACCTGGGACCCTTCAGTCCACAGGCCGATGCTCGAACCGCTGAGCCAAACAGGCTAGGGCATTTGTTGCAACCTTCTGTATATTCGAAATTATTAAACAGAAATCTTCCTGAAGTATACCTGGGAATGTAATTGCTAGGTCTTGGGCTATAAATATCTTTAAATTTACCACACAGTGCCAAATCATTTTTCAGTGTGGTTGTACTAATTATATGCCCATTGTCCCATGTCTTTACCAACACCTGATATTATTCAATTTAATATTTTTATCAGTCCTTATGGGCATGAAATTGTGGTTTTTAGTTTGCATTTCTTAGAGTGAAGTTGAATATCTTTTAAATATTTAGTCATTCGGGCTTGCTCTTTTGTAGCTTACTTGCCATATTTTTAGCTATTTTTTTTTACCCAGTTCTTTGACTTTTTCTTATTAATTTGTTGTATGTTTTAATATATTTTGGAAATTGACCCCTTGTCATTTAGGTACATTACAGTTACCCACATACTTTTGAAAGAGGCTTAATGGAAATAGAAAGTTGAGTTATATTTTATTTGAGTTACACAGAATGAAGGCGGCGAGGGAGCAGAGAAAATATTGCACATCAAGGGTAGAGGCTAGGGGCCTGGCTCCTGTTTACAGATCTCTTCTCCTGGCTCAGCTGAATAGTATGAGCCACCTTGAACTTGCTTTCTTTTCTCTGGTCCCTCAGCAAAAGGTTATTTTTGGAAGGGCTGGCCACTGTCACTAGTGTGTTTCATTCAGAGATTTGCTGAGTAACTTGTTCTTCCCCCCTCTTTTAGACTCAAAACAGTTCTATATATTGCTAAATAATGAAACTCTTGCACTGCTAAATTTTGGCCAGTAGTTGGATTGAGCAACCTGCTTGTATTGCAGTGCCTGAGAGCAAGAGGCTAATTCAGCAGCAACACTCTCTTGGTTCATTCTCTAATAGTAATTTTCAGAGATGGTGGAGAAAGGTTAAGCCGCTGAGGTTTGACGGCTGAAAAAGATAGTCTAATAATCATTCAAGGACTTAGTTTATTGTGCTAATTCTTAAGGGGATGGTATTAACTGTACATGTGGGCAAAAACAACTCAAAACCACCCAAAAAACTCAAAAGTAAAATCACAAAACTTTAACCCTGTAAGGAAACTAAAAATCTCCGCCCCCCCCCCGCCACTTTATAAAGAAAGACCCCAAGTTAGGTGACTATCGATCACAGTCATAGCTGGTCATTGTCCTAAACAGCACTTGACTTTGGACTTCAGGCCCTTATTGCTTCCTACCCCAGTGCATTTATGCTGCCATATCTTCAAAAAGCTGACACATGACAGCTCCCTCTACGGATCTACATACAAGTTCTCCAGAGGATAGATATTATAGTCCTCTCTACGTTCCTCATTGGTTTCCTAGGAACTGGGAAGGGAGGAAATCAAAGAGAGTCTCTTTCAGGGAATTTAACACCTTAATGTTCACCTCAAAAGAAAGGAAAGACTTTTCTAATGTAGGAGATACATTTCTTTCTTTGTGACACACCTCAGAGGGACAAATGGATAGTCACATCACTGACACACACACACACACACACACACACACACACACACACACACACACACACACACACACACACTACTCTTTATTCTTCAAAGACCTCATCAAGTTTTCTTTTTTAGTAGTTAGAACTGGGTGGCAGTAGTCATTTTTCAATTTACAAATTTCTGCTACTTGGAAAATCTTTGAATTATTTTCTTTATGGAAAATGCACTAACAGTATAAAGAGGAAAACTCTAATCTTATTGTCCAGAGATAACTAAATGTGTCCTTCTTAACATTTTTCAATATATATATTTCATGGAGTTAAATTATAGTTTTAGATCCTGCCTTTTTTCACTTAGCATTAGAGTATTTGTTAATGGATGTATTATATCTCATTGTCTGGATCGATTATAATAGGAAAGGCTACAGTGAACACTCTTACCTACAATTCTGATTTATTTTATGGCAGATTCTTAGAACTGGAATTATTGAATTATCAGCAAAACTATTTTTAGTCTCTTCATGCCAAACAGATTTTGACAAAGTTGCTACCAGTTCCATGTCATGTAAATTGAGTATGAGAGTACCTGTATTATTTCCGTCATTGAAATTTATCACTAAAAATGTTGCTGACTTGATAATATAAATAGGCCAGACTGTCTAATCTACATTTCTTTGATTACTAATAAGAAGGTTTATATATACTTATTAACTATTATGTTGTTTCTGTAAATTCAGTTTATAAACTTTGCTTACTTTTCTGTAGGAGCCTGTGTTTTTCTTATAAAATAATTTTTGCATATTAAAAACACTAACCATTTGCCATTGTGGTAAATAACTTTTACTTTTGCTTGGATTTTTGGCTTTAGGGTTTTTATCAGGGAAAAACAGAAGTCTTTATTTTTATAGTCAAAGTCTATACTTGGGGAGAGGTGGTTTCTGTGAAGTCTTTCTGTGAAGGGGGGAAATGCAAGAAAGAGGGCTTTTTAAAAAATATATATCTTTATTTATTTTTAAAAAATATATCTTCATTGATTTCAGAGAGGAAGGGAGAGGAAGAGATAGAAACATCAATGACGAGTCATTGATGGGCTGCCTCCTGCATGCCCCCCAGTGGGGATCGAGCCCGCAACCCGGGCATGTGCCCTGACCAGGAATCAAACCTTGATCTGGATCATAGGTGGACGCTCAACTACCGAGCCATGGTATCCGGGCCCCGAGAGGGCTGTTGAGGACTAGGGGATTCCTCTGCAGTGAATTGAAGCCTTGGGTAGAGGCTATTTCACGTAGACTCAGTGATTTCTCCTCTTCGCCCACTGCAGTTGCTTGTCTTTTATTTCTGAAATCTGTCATGTTACCTGTTAAATTTACTTGTCTTGTGCACAGTTGGCCTTTTGGTCATTTGTTTATATGTCCTATGGTATTTCCTCATGTCCTGATGCTTTCTTTTAAGGTATTATCCAAAGAGATGAGTCACCCATGGAAAAAGGACTCTCTGGTCTTCGAGGAAGGGACTTTGAGCTGTCTGACGCGTTTTATTTCTCCAAGAAGGGATTGGAAGCCATTGTGGAAGATGAAGTGACCCAGAGGTTCTCGTCTGAGGAGCTAGTATCATGGAATCTCCTCACAAGGACCAATATAAATTTCCAGTACATCAGCCTGCGGCTCACCATGGTGTGGGTGCTGGGCGTCCTAATACGCTACTGTGTCCTACTGCCTCTGAGGTACGTCTCCCTCCCAGCAATTTGATGGGATAATTAGTTCAGTTTTCTTTTGAAATCGTGTGTAATGGCCACGTGTGAGTATCATGTTGCTAATCTCACTCCTTCCCCCTTAAGAAAACACCACCAAATGTGACCTCCACAGGAATGTACTAAGTATTCTCCCTTCACATTTCCCCTCCTAAATTAAGGTGTGTGTTCAGAATCCAATATATATTAGTCTGGATCCAGGTTACTCTTTCAGTCAGATAATTTGATGGATGGAAAGGGGAAGTGAGAAAAAAGAAGATTCACAGTTTCACATTCACTGGACACCCACCCGACCGTAACTGGCTCTCTGCCCGTCTGCAGTGGCTCACAGCTGCGTAGGAGAGGGAAAGTTCCTGAGCGCGGTTATGGCATGGGGGAGAGCCATTCAGAGAGTGAATTTGCTCCACCCCTATCCACTTATGACCATTCACTTATCATACTAAAAGTTTGCACCTAGGTCTTCTTCGAGTTCTAAGTTTGAGTGCCACCTGTTGAGGAGGCATCCTCAAGCCCTGTGGACTGAAACCATGGCATGGGGTGTAAGAGTAGAAGAGTAACTGGGCATTGGGATGAAGGGCAAGCGACCAAGGTTTGTTTAGCATGGTGGTGGCCGGTAGGAAGCACGTGTACCAGTCACAACATTACTGTTGATTGTCTTGCTTCATTTCCTTTGGAAATGGCCTTGGCATCCTCTCAACAGAGCTTTCCAGGCAGTTGCTACCAGCCAACAGAGCTGGTACAGGAGTCACAGGAGTCGAAACCTCTTTACCATCCCTAGGGGTGGCCTGTACTTGCCTCATTCAGATTTATTACAAGGGAACAGATTGCTTAAGTATAAGCAAAGGCACATTTCTAAGAAACTTGTTCTGCCTTCCTTGTGCTCATGTTGCCAGTTACTAGATATTGGGGGCATGGTACGTCTTTTGGGAGTCATTTCAGCTGTGATAACAAAGTGAAACTCAGGGTTTCACATATACCCTTTTTCTTTTTTTAAATCCTCACCCTTAGAGCAGAAGAGTGGAGGGGGGACAGGAGAGACAGAAACATCGATGTGAGAAACAGTGATCGGTTGCCTTCCATAGGTTCCCCAACCAGGGATCAAATCTGAAATTCAGGCATGTGCCCTGACTGGGAATCGAACCAGCAACCTTTTGGTGCACAGGACGATGCGCACCCAACAGAGCCACTCCGGCCAGGCTTCACAAAAGTGGGACTAATGTACTCTGGAGATGTCCAAGACTACCTATTGGCATGTAGGAAGGAAATATTCAAGCTTTTATTTGTTAGACATTTCTAGTTTATTATAATTGGAGCTTCCATTTATTGTTTTTATTCTTAAAAATAAATGAAACCTCAGCAAAGCTGAATATATAGATAAGCTCTTCCATCTTCACTTGGTCCATTGGGTCAGGCGCCATATCCAAGGCAACCTGAGGGAACAGTGAGGATTTTACAACACAGAGTCCTTGATTCCCTCATTTTCTGGTTAGCTTTCACCTGCTGTGGGTGTCCGGCAAATGGTGTTATGATTGATTACCTAGTTTAAAGTGAAGTAATGCTCACAAAATAGGTAAGTGACATAAAACCAGATTTAAAATAATCCTGTAATGTAAGCATCCAAGAAGAAGAAATAGCAGAATTAAGATTCCAACTCTTAGTACATACTCTTCCATATGAAAGAATTGCTTTGTAAATGGTTTTTGAAATGAGTTACTAAAGAGTGAGCATTTAAAAAAAACAGATTGTGCTAAAAAATGGTTGTGTGGTGGTCACACAACTCTGTGAATAAGCCGAAAGCCATTGAGTTGTACATTTTAAATGGGTGGACTTTATGATATGTGAATTGTAGCTCCGTAAAGCTCTTAAAAAAACAACACAGATTGTGACTGAAATCTTGTGTCATCTAAGAGAACTCTCCTGTTCACTTAAACTGGAAAACAGAATTTTCTGGCCGTTAATCTAGCAGACAAAAGCCTTCAATGGCTTTGAACACAATTATTAAACATGTTGAAAATAGTATCACTTCTGCTGATTTAATGTAGGAACAAGTGATTCTCATTAGGGCAAGATGGCAAAATATTTTAAAACTTTTGCGTAATTGATGGTTAAGATTAAAACAGCGATTTAGTTACAGCATCAGTGACTGACATGAAAATATGGCAACTAAAGAAAGCTAAATTTGACCCTCAAGTTTCTGTGTCAAAAAGTGTTAAACCAAGACTTTAATATTGTAATACGGTGTTTATGAGGAAACCCCAATTATTTTGAAAGATTATGAACCTCAGCCTTTTCTCTTTGGGTAATTCTATTTACATTTCTAAAATGGCTATTTCTTTTTGAAGTTATTGAAATGTATATTAAAAGCACTTTTCAAAAATGAGAAAGTGTCTATGTGGAGATTGGAGGTATTGTCAGTCGGCTTGTTTGCTAACTTCCAAGTTATCTTGAATCATCCAAAGGAACAACAGTTAGATTTGCATTGAGGAATATATAATTTGGAATTCTTAGTATGAAGGAGCCTGCAAGTACAACTTCTTTTGCCATTTGCAAGAAATTTTAAATTCCTCTAAGAAAAATTTGAATTGTACCTATTTGTTTCCCTGTCACTAAAAAACCACAGGAAAAACAAGTGATTTTCAGACCTTTGGAAGATATTTTCTGTCCATATCACACTACACCAAAGTATCCTGAACAAAACACGATTACCACTTTCAACCTAAAATGACTCCTTTATACAACATAAGACTTTTTTCATATAGAAGTTACTATGTATTTAAAATAATTCAGAATAATTTAAAAATTAAAATAATTCAGAAAAGCAGGAGGGCAAGACTTTTAATTTATTCTTTTCACTAGCCCACTTAACCCTCTGATGATTATGTAGATTGAACTTGACAGTTTATGAATTATTTCCAGGCCTTTTCTGTGCATTTGTAGATGAGTCATGTGCCTGCTATTTTTTTTTTTTGAAAATGGTATCATTTTCCATATATTATTTTGAAACTTTGCTTTTTTGCTCTCAATGTACCAAGGACCATTGTTCCATGTCAGAATCTGTAGATTTATCCAATTCTTTTAATGGCTGCATCATATCCCATAATGTGGATGCCCCACAACTTATTCACAATTTTATTATTTGTGACCTGTTAGGTTATTTTCCTTTACCCCTACTATTCAACTAAATTTTTGCATTACGTTTTTCTCTTCTTTTTCAGGGTTACCTTGGCTTTCATTGGGATCAGTTTGTTGGTTATTGGAACTACGCTGGTTGGGCAGCTTCCAGATAGCAGGTGATGTGTTTACTTCCACCAGCTCTAAATAGGATTGTCCCTTTCTTAGCTATGTCCACAAAGAGAATATTTGTTTATTTCCTGTGCATCAAATTTATGCCCTCAGCCCACTTGTTAAAATCCTACTTAATTAATATTCTTGATTTGATATTCAATCATACTTTCATATAAATCGTAAGATTTTTTCAAAGGGAAAAGAAAGAAAAGACTGAGGAACTCAAGGACAGCAAGAGAGTAATTTGTTTTATTTTATTATTTTATTTTTTCCATCACCGTAGGAAATTGTTACAGTATTGAGATAAAAAAAGCTTCAACTTATCTTTTTTAAAAAATAAGTTTTTATTGATTTCAGAGAGAGGAAGGGAAAGGGAGATAGAAACATCAATGATGAGAGAGGATCATTGGTTGAGCCTACTACCCGGGCATGTGCCCTGACCAGGAATCGAGCTGTGACCTCCAGGTTCATGGGTTGACCCTCAACTGCTGAGCCACACTGGTTGGGCTTCAGCTTATCTTGATCAGGAGCTTATGAGAGTCCAGTCAGGTGGAAGCTGTTTTCCCTTAGCATTTTGTCCTAAATACCTTAATGAGAATATAAGAATTGAACTGTGCTTGTGTTTCAGAGCATAGGATGCTGCTGTGAAGGAGCACATGCAAGCTTTTATTGTATTATTTCTTAGGAGTGCCCAGAACTGCACAATAAAATGTTTTTTCTTTCCTTCAGCTTCAAAAACTGGCTGAGTGAACTGGTCCACCTGACCTGTTGCCGGATCTGTGTGCGAGCCCTCTCAGGGACCATTCATTATCATAACAGGTGAGTGTCTGCTGGCTTTGTGCCTGCCCTTCTCTAGGTCAGTTCAGTGTGTGATTGACAGGTGAAATGGGAGTACTTCCTTTGTGGTCATCCCTACTTCTTAGAGTGTTGCAGGTACCAGAATACACAAAAGCAACCCGTTTGCAGAAGGAACATACTAATTAACATGTAATGACACTTGATCACTGGGCATTTGTGGTGTGTAGGCAGGGCCTGTGCTTCTTGAGATCAGCCCTATGAAAGGAGCCGTTATCCTGTTTGACAGGTGAAGCAATGGAAGCTCTGGGGTTGTTTGTCTAGGGTTGCAGGGTAAGTGGCAGTCAGATTTTGAATGGGGTCTGTCTGATTTAAACAGTGGTGAAGATGACAGGCCTGTTGTATGGTTGAAGGGGGACTAGATTTGGAATCTGGAGGCCTACTCTCTATTCTCAGTCCTGCCACTTCTAAAATTCCAGAACTAAGCCTTAAAATAGAGCGTGACATTCTGCTTCCCTTATCCTTAGTCACAGAAGATAAAGGTAGATAAGCAAAGTTATTAGCTAAATAAGAGGAATTTTGTTAACTTTTCTGTTAACTCTCTTACATTTAATATTGTTTCAAAAGTTCAGGACAAGCCTCCAATGTTTTTACTGACTGGGTCCTTCTGCTTCATTTGTGGAAGGGCAACATTTTAATATTTGGCTTTCCCATGTGTTGCCAACATAAAAGACCCCTTCAGTTTCTAAAATTATATGGTTTTGTGATTGGGCTATGAATTTTGTGGTGAGGAGTAAAAGAAAATGCTTTGGAAGAAGTGTGAGCAGAGGAATTACCTTCTACAGAAAAAGTGCTTTAATTACATAGAGAGAAGTTCATAATTTTTTTTATAGAATTGCTTCCTATTTTAAGGAAGACATTTATGCATTTGGTCTCCTTCTCTCTATAGACTCAAAGAAAACTGCTTTGCTTCATTAGTGTCCGATACTGGTTGAACTCTAGGACAGAGGTCTGCAAACTAAACTATGGGCCCACAGGCCAAATGTGGCCCACCATCTGTTTTCTGTAAATAAAGTTTTATTGGAACACAGCCAGTGCTCATTCATTTACATATCTGTGGCTGCCTTTGTACCAAAACAGCAGAGTCCTGTAATTTTGACAGGGATTGGCTGGCTTGCAAAGCTTCAAACATTCACTATCTGGCCTGAGATAGGAAAAGTGTGCCAACTTCTGTTTTAGCGGGATAGGAGGGAAGAAGGAAACTACAGTAATTTTACTCTGTGGATTACCATGAAGCCTCTAAAATTGATGTGTATGAAGATTGAAATAATAGGAAAATGCTTATGATAAAATAAGTGAAATTCATCACAAAATTTGGTCAAGTTATGGAATCTTTGTAATTCAGTCTAATATTTTAAAATTATTTTTTTCATCATAAAAGGAAAATATGGTTATTACAAAAAATAACATAAATATATCTAAAGGGAAAGTCAGGGGTCCCTTCTCCTATACTCTTAACTCCCAATCCAGTCATTATAGCCTAGAGACAACCTGTTTAAGATGGGCCCATATACATCAAACTATTTTTTTAATGGACTTTTTAAAACAAAATATGATGAATCTACATGTTGTTCTGCAAAATAGTGGCCATTTTCCAAGGTTTAGTATTTACCATTGTTTGTAATTGCAGGCAGTACAGACCCCAGAAGGGAGGCATTTGTGTTGCCAACCATACCTCCCCAATAGATGTTTTGATTTTAACAACGGATGGATGCTATGCAATGGTAAGAGCAGCTTATTGATATTTCAAGTAGTTGCATGTTTTGTGGCTTGCTCAAATTTTAAATTTATTTTGGCACAAATTAGAAAGTTAGTTTTATATTAAAAAGTGACGGGGTTATACTACTGTAGCTATATGTTATGTAATATATTTGCATGAGGAATATATAGTGCAAGAAAAAGAAAAAAATAACCATACTTAAGGTAATAAAAATTTAACTTACTGAAATGCAGACATACTTGAGCTTGATAGGACTTTATGAAGTTGATTCCCTCTTTCTTCTAAAATCCCTGAGATGTTTAGTAACATTTTCAGAGATTAAAGTCTTTCTCCTTGGAGCTGTGAGACTCCCTTACCAGCCAGTTAGTTCTGTCTTCCTTCAGGGAGTCATATGCAATTTAAAAAACAAACTATCCTTTTAATGAAGATTAAGCAAAAAAGGCAAATATTTATACCACATTGCCTTTCTCAGTCTATAGCCACAAAAGAAAAATGAAAAGAGAAGAAAACCCTTCAACAGACCACAAAGCCCACAGTGAAATCAAACACCTCCAAATACTTGTTCATGGGGTGAACCACTTTCTGGCATTTTTCAAATCTGTGTATTCAGTTGTCCTTAAGAACTTGTCAAGATTTCCTCCATCTCCTTTATGTCTGTGTCAGGTGAAGTTTGGAGGATAATTAACTATGTCCTTTCCTGCATGGTGGCAGATACGCCTCAAAGCTGGTGATGGTGGGAGAGGGGTCCTGGGAATCTTCTTTTCATACCTCTTGGTGGTGGCTTGGGTTTCAGGAAGAGCACATGGATTTTTTTTTTCTTCCCACTTCTCATCTCCAGTGACTGATAGTCACGGTTGGTGTGCTTTCCTGGGGAGGCATTTGAAGGAAGCCATTATTAAGTGTCTGCTATGGGTAGGAGAGTGGGAGTTCTGGCACATGTGTGGGTATTTGACTATACACGGGTTATACAATCACTGAGGGGGTTTTGAAGGCCTTTGTAAAAACGCCTAACTTGCCCTAGCCAGTGGGGCTCAGTGATTAGAGCGTCGGCCTGCGCACCAGAGGGTCTAGGGTTTGATTCCTTGTTGAGGGCACGTGCCTGGGTTGTAGTTCCATCCCTGCCCAGGTTGAGGCGCCTTCAGGAGGCAACCAGTGGACGTGTCTCTCTCAGGTCCATGTTTCTCTCCCTCTCCCCCTCCTTCGCTCCCTTCCATTCTCTCTGAAAAGCAATGGAAAAAATGTCCTCAGGCGAGGATTAACAAAAAACTCCCCCAAAACTCCTAACTTATTGCTAGTTATTTCTTCTGTCTAAAATATAAATTCAGATATGTAATACATTGTTAAATTTCTCTAACTTATTGGGCTCTTTTTGAATCTAAGAAAACTCTAACCAATTCTCTGCAAAGACTTTTGGGAATTGGTACATCTTAACGTTTTTTAGCTTAGGAATTAGTTAATAGTTACATATCTTTTTTTTTTTTAGGGAAACAAACAACCACTACAACATACATGTGCATTATACAGACATAAAATCCTGTGTCTAATTTCAAGATGTTTATGGATCTCCAGAAAGCCCTTCCAGGGACTCTCATGTTAACAACCCTTGATAGACGCCCCCACCATAGCTCTGGGTGCCTATAATAATTCCTTACATTTATGTGGACAGGCACTTTCATATCCATTATATGTGACCTTCCCTAATTCAGTAAGATTAGGGCTGAGATTTTGTTATAGATAAGAAAGCAGAGGTTTGGGCATTTTAACCGACTTATCTAATCATGACTTTGTTTCCAAGGCCATATCCATTCAGTGTCCTGGTCAACAAGAGGAGCATAACTCACTTGCAACTGAAGGCCTCAGAATTTTGTTGGCATTTTCTATGCTTTTTGATCATGTATCATTTCAAATATCTTATTAGCCAAGGTTTTGAAAGCATAGTTGAGTGATAGAAACCTAAAGGCATTTGGGTTTAATTCAGAGGCAGGAGGGCAAAAGTGGGAGGAAACTGGACTGCTACCCTCCAGAGGTCATATTTGGCCTCTTTTGGCTAAACATAAACTATATCTCTTAAGGATGTTCAAGATCCCATCTCAGTGGCTTTTCAGAATATTTCCCCTCCTAAACAAAAACCTCTACTTTTTTTTTCCCTTCGAAATTTAGAAGTATTTTCTAACTTAAAAAGAAGTTGTAATAATGAGAGTATTACATAGACCATCCACATGCCCTTTATCCACATTTACCTATTGATAACATTTGCTTTATTATTTGTGTTCTCAGACACTGGCTTTCTCTCTGTCTCTATAAAAATGTATGTAAAATATTTATTTTAAACATATTTGTCTTTAATATTTCTGATATTATTTCTAATGTTGATGTAACATTGGAAATATGAGTCTATACAAACTTATCCAATTCATAGGTTTTTTTTCTTGCTTTTCCCCAATCTATATTTGTGTCTTCCTTTTTTCACAGTGAATATCCTGTTTCCCAACAATATCAACTCATTTTCTCAATTCTATAGTACATCCAAAATTGTTTCAGAATTGCTTCACCTGTTTTACTATAAAAAACAATGTAAGAATAATTCAGGGTATTTTGTGGTTCACCTTACTACCTTACCCAAAATGGAAGGTGTGTGGTCAAATACTGTCTATAAATTTTTTTGGTTTTCTCCCCACTTTTTATAGAAACATCCATTCTACCCCATTCCCTCCTACCCTTGTAGGATTCCAACTTTATTCTTTTTGGTTATTCTTTATTTTTGTAGAGATAAACAAATATATATGAATATTTCCCCTTCTGTCTTATACAAAAGGTATTATACTATATTTGCTCTTTACAGGTTGCTTCTTTTCACTTAATGTCTCCTGGAAATCATTTCTTATCAGTAATAGAGTTTAACCTTGTTCGTTTACCAGATGCATGATACTCCATTGGGTGTATGTACCATAGTTTATTAATCTAATTTCTTATGTTTGGACATTTAGTTAGTTTCCTATATAGCAATTACAAATAATGCTGCAATTAAAACCTTGTGCATATGTATTTTCATTTTGTTGGAGTGAAATGGTCTATTTTCAGGATATATTTCTAGAAGTAGAATTATTGAGCTGAAGGATAAATGTATATGCAGTTTTGATAAATATTGCGAAATTTCCTTCCAAGTGTGTGATAATGTCTCCCATCGCAAGCAATGTCCCACAGTGACCACTTCCCATAGCCCTGGTTCAGAGTAAGTTGTCAAGCTCTTGGATGTTTTTCAGTCTGATAGGTGAGGAATAGTATTTCAGTGTGGTTTTAATTTGAATTTCTCTTAACTTGACTATTCTACTTTTTAAAGCTAGAGAATAGCTACTCTTTCAACATAGCTTAAAATTCAAAGGTGTTACTAAAGAATACCTTTTGCTTATATCTGGCCATTCATGTCCTTTGTATAGACTAAGAACTTAGTCAAGTAGAAGATCTTTTCTCTGAGTGGGGAATAGAAACTTACTCCTACTTAAATACACACAAACTTTCTTTGGACAGCTGTGCCTTTACACTTACATTTTTGTCTTTTTCTGATGGCATTTCTAGGTTGGCCAGGTTCATGGTGGGTTGATGGGAGTTATTCAGAGAGCTATGGTCAAGGCTTGTCCACATGTCTGGTTTGAACGCTCAGAAATGAAGGATCGACACCTGGTTACTAAGAGGTAAGCAGTTACATTACTCAGTATCCAGTGGCATATCATAAAATCTGATAAATCTTGCCTTTCTGCCCCAAAGAGGGCAGAGCAGTGCTAAGGATTAAAGCTAAAATATGGAGCTCTATTTCTGGTAGACTTTCTGGTGTACCACCTGTCTTAGCTAGATTTTTAAAAAATTTAATTCTGTAGGAAAGTGGGATATATGATGAGATTAGAAGGCCCATCAGTTTGTATTGTGGTGATTTAGGCATAGTCCAGTTACTGAATTTTCAAAGTTAAAAATTACTACCTAGAAAGTTAAATAATTTGTAACTGTTTAATGAATTAATAGACTATATCAATCAATCAATAGGTTGATTGTTTGCTGAAAGACTGTTGTCACTTAAGTCTATCCAGAGACACACACAGCTAATCTTTTTGTGAAATGGGATAAGGAACCTCTGGGACTTAGGATCAGAGATAAGCTACCAGAAACCTTTTGTTTGGGAAATACCTTTCTGCCTGAGGCCTTTAACTGAAGGTACTCTGGTCATTGCTTCTATGGGCATGAAGGTGAGCCAAGTACTTGAACACTGGCAACTGTAATCTTAATATCTCAGCCTCACTGGCTTCTGGTGAACAGTTGGAATACAGGGCTGACTCTAGGGAGGACAGGACCAAGCCTGGAAGACTTTACATTTTTCTCAGCTTTATTATGGTGCATATTTCCTAGGAAAGTTCAGGAGTCTTCTATGTTCACTGGCCGTAGGCAGACAGGTCTAGCAATCAATATTCCCATTTTTCAGATGGGGTAGTAACGGTACAGGGGGAAGGGCTCAAAGCTCATGACACAGGGTCTCCAGAGCTCCTAGCTTTTTTTTTTTAAAGAGTGGGCAGAAGGCACTGAAAATCACTTACTTTGAGATGAGAGAAATTGAAATAGTGCAGCTATCCTTACACTTTTTTAGAAAGGAACCCACTTGAGTTTATTTCCTTTGCTTATGTTTTATTTCTTTTCTTCATATTGCTTTACCATTATGTCTGTGCTAGTAGAGTGTAAAGAATACGAAAGAGGGTTCCCATCTCTCTCTCTTTAAAGGTAGAATTTTGACCCTTTATTTTTCTTTACAGACTAAAAGAACACATTGCTGACAAGAAAAAATTACCCATATTAATCTTTCCCGAAGGTAAGAAGGAGACTGCCTACCAAGCTATAGTTGATAACAAGGACCAGAAGTGTATGAGGAATTGGATTGTTCTGGAACTGGCATTCTTAGCCCCCATCTGCTGGCCTAGGGGAATGGGATGGCCTTCTCTGAACCAATAATTCCCTGCTTGCTTTTGAGATCTGATGAAAGTTGTACCTTTTAGATCTTAAAAGTGATTTCTGGGTAATGAACTTAGAAAGGTATTGTCCATAACTTGTTCAAGGTCCTTATTTTAAGTGTGGCAGAATTATTACCTATTGTGAAGAAGTGGTATCTCTAGAGTATTCAGTAAGAAAGCAAAAATTTGTCATTAAACCTGTTTAGAACTATCAAATTACTACTCAAGCAGGAATTGATTTGTGAAATGGTAGTAAAATGTCTGTAATTTTGATAGGATTTGAGTAATTTATTTTATATCAAAATAATTCCTTTAAAAATTTTGTTTCAAAAATGGTTGCTTTTACAAATATTCATGCCCCCCTCCCCCAACTCCCATTTCCCTGCAGGAACTTGCATCAACAATACTTCAGTCATGATGTTTAAAAAGGGAAGCTTTGAAATTGGAGGAACTATATATCCAGTTGCAATTAAGGTAAAACAGATTTCCTTCTTCCTCCCCCAGAAAAGGGCAGTTACTTGGTAACTTTATTTTGATATACTTTAAAATTAAAAATTGGTGAGCATAAGGAGCGATTGAATATACTTTACTCAGATTCAGCAGCTGTTTACATTTCACCCCTTTTACTCGATCATTCCCTCCCTATTAATATGTACATGATATGTAGCAGAGGACTTCTGCCAGGCCAAAGCCCGAGTACTGGGGACACAGTCAGCGACAAGCAACACAGATATTGTCCCCACTCTCATCCACCTTCCAGTTAAGTGGGGTGATGGACATCTGAGAGTCATGTACCCAGCATATGTCATCAGTCTGGCTCAAATAAACTTACAAAATTTTATAAGAAGGAGTCATGTAAGTCAGCCTCTTGATGCAGGGCTCTGGGCTGTAGTCTGAGGAGTTTGCTGGACTGGTTTACCTCTGATCATTTCTGTCAAGGGAAAAAGCTTCTCTTTTTCTTGGGGTCTAATAGAGAGGTTTGGCCTGCCACCTTGAAAACATTGACTTGGATAAGAGAAGCCAACACTTAATTCATAATGTGACATATTTTCTTTTCTTTTTCTCAGTATAACCCTCAGTTTGGTGATGCCTTTTGGAACAGTAGTAAATACAACATGGTGAGCTACCTGCTTCGAATGATGACCAGCTGGGCCATCGTCTGTGATGTGTGGTACTTGCCTCCCATGACGAGAGAGGTAGGCCATAGATAACAATAGCTGATCTTTGGGGTTTTAATCAGGTAGAGGGGAGAAAACCTTTACCTGAAAACCTGGGTGTCTCCCTTCCTCACATCAGCTAGAGCTGGACTTCCTTTCTACTTTCTCAGCAATGAGTAATTTTTAAAAAAATGTAGTTCTCTTTGCCCTGGCCTGTGTGACTCAGTTGGTTGGACGTCTTCCAGTGCACCGAAAGGTTATGGGTTCAATTCCCCGTCAGGGCACATGCCCAGGTTGTGGGTTCAATCCTTGGTTGGGGGCAGAGGGTGTGTAGGAGGCAGCCAATGGATGTTCTGATCACACAGATGTTTCTCTCCCTCTCCCTTCGTCTCTAAAAATCAATAAAAATATTAAAATAATTGCAAAAGTCTTTCTACTAGTTCTCTTCACATCAGGCCATTTTATATTCAGATACTATTTTCCATAATAACTTTTATAATTGCTGTTAGTTTATTGGACCTATAGATATGGAATGTTGTATCTTGGATAAGAGCAGTAAAAAACATGATAAATAATGTACACCTGGTTAAAAAAAAGAAGCAACACAACACTGCATTTTCTTGATAGAACAAAATGATATTTGCTGTGATTGAGATTCAAACGTATTTGAGCTAAAATGTAGATCTTATATTTTAAGATAAATCTGAATGATTTTGAGACCTTTTATGGCATTATTGAAAACTCCCTACCCAGGATATATTTGTGATTTCCCCCCCCAGGAAGGAGAAGATGCAGTCCAGTTTGCTAACAGGGTTAAGTCTGCTATTGCTATACAAGGAGGATTGACTGAGCTTCCCTGGTAAGAAATTTTCAGAAGTACTATCACTTTTTTTAAATTAAAAACTCAATAATGTCATTTAATATGCTAATTCGCTGAAGGTGTAGCTGACAGTGATGGGGGTTCATACAGCGTAACAATGGCTTAAATAAGGTAGAAGTTTATCGAATTCCCGTAAACACAGCCAGTCCAGGTTGGTGCAACAGCTCATTTTGTGTTGTTCTGCCGTCCTCGATGGGCTTGTACTTTATGGTCCAAGACGGCTGCCCAGCTCTGCTCAGTGTGTTTAGCACATGGCTAGCAGGGAGGAATTAGAGCAAGAAGGACACATCCATGTCTTTAAGAGCATGGATTAGAAGTTGGACATGCCACTAATTATGCTAATTAACAAGCCACTAATTTCTGTAGTGAAAACCCATTATGCTGATTAACAAAGCTTGGGAGATTGATGGGAGATCAAGACAGCCGAAGCCTTCTGGTGGCTTCTGATTAAATCCCTGGCTGACCACCCAGAGTGTCAGTTCCAGAGTATGAGTTCTTGATTCAAGGCAACTGACTGGCCCTAGGGTTAAGATAGGTTAAGACTAACACTTTCATTATGCTCTCTAAGCTGGGATTTGTGAAGCATCATGAAGTGGCAGGCTTCCCAGTGCCCTAGTTTGCAATGCCTTGATTTACAAACGCCCTGCTGGTCCATGGTCATTGTAGAACTGGTTTCTTCTTTCTAGTTCATTGTTCTCTACACTTACTCCTTTCCTCATAGTTGACATCCCAGCCCTGCTTCTGTCCTGAAGCAATTAGGAAAAGTGTGGAGCTTTGGCTCAGTAGCCTCAGAAAGGAAAGAAAGCTTCGAGAGACAAAAACAGCCAAGGGGAGTCAGCCACAGGGCAAACTCCCAGTCAAATTGGCTTAAATGAAATCTGTCAGAAATTATTCTCAGAACTTTTCAATTTCCTTTTATCAGGCCACATGCCAATTTTATAATAAAAGGTTACTTTTAATTACCTAGCCTCTTCTTTAAAAAGAAAATAGACTCACTACCTTTCCAGATATATTTGTCATTTACCCATTAGGTCTGGATCAGTTTTCTCCTAGGTTAAATGAAAACTTAATTATATCATCTTAAACTAGCTTTTAAATATGGCAGCTGCTTGCCTTAAGAACTAAGATCTGCTGCCGTTGCAAAGGGAACTGGGTACAACTTTGAAGTCTATAGGGGGGTGGCAAGTCACAACTGGGATGCTTAGAGCAGTGTGAGGTTTATTGGATGCTTGGGAAGGAGAATTGCATAAAAATAACATCAGGATACTCAAGGGCAAACATTGCTAACTTTGATATTTTGCCATTTTTGGCCTGGACCTCAGGAAAGAAGGAATGGCCTTTCTTCTGTCTCTCTCTCCCTCCCTTAGTTTTTACTATTCAGATTTCACATAAATGCTGTGGTTTGAGGCGACTCATTTGGATAAAAGGCTTTTGTGGACAATTTTGGGGTCCTAAAGCCACTTTACAGCCTCCATGGAAATTTTCTACAACTGACCCCCTGGAAGATTTGTGGCCCAATGTGTATTTTTAAGTTGAGGACTCACTGATGTACTTACTGTCTTAGGTTTGCCTCTAGAGGTTAGAACATTGCCTCTTGGTGCCTAAACACTGTTTGTAGGTCAAGTTCTGTCTTCATGGCACTGAGTTCACTGGCTAACCTGTGATTTATTCATCATTATCAGGGAGCATTTGGTAAGCATTTGTGCTTAACTGGGTTAAAATTAAACAGGCACAGTATAAAGTAAGCAAGTTCTCAGTCGACGCCCTCCCAGGGGTTAAAATGAAAAACATTTGATTGGGGGAGAGAGTGGCCCCTGATAGTCCAGTCTCCTCCCAACTCTTATAATTTGTTGTTCCTTTGTGTCCTCCAAAGAAGGAAAGCCACGCACAGAGTCCTTAAACCCGGCAGGCAGGCCTGTGCTCTCACCACCCTGGAGAGGGTTCAAAGATTCACAGACTGTGAGCTAAGGGAATGCTGCTTATATAGGCATTACCTACCAGTTGAATGCAACTTATTCTTTTGTTTTATTCTGAGTCTCTTGTAAATACTTGAAATATAGTGCTGTGAGTGAAAACACAAGTTGGTAGACATAGGATTAGGTTTGAGTAATGATTAACTCATTTATCTTTAAGGAAATTACTCACACATATTCAGTACCTCACCATTTGTTATATATGTATATTTTGTCTATGTGGTTTTCTAGTAAGACAGAGGCCCCTTAGATGAAAAAACAACAACAATAAAAATATTGCTCTCCTTGGGGAAAAAGATAGATAAACAATTCTAGTTTTAATGTAGTGTCCGTGTTGAATTCAGCAGCCCTCAAGAAGAAACTGAGCGGAGACATTGCTCTTTATTTTAACCATGACTCAGAGCGATTGTTTCTTCCTCACAGTGACATATTTCTGGTTGGTGGTAGAGCAGAGACTGGAATCTGGGTCATTCTGCTTCCAAATTCCAGGATTCTTTGTCCCATTGCTGACCAGCTGCTTATACGTCTGGCAAACCATGCGGCATGTATTGATAGGTAACCCTTCAAACCATTGTTGGGAGTATCTCTTATTAATTCACCTTTCTATTCCCAGGGATGGTGGGCTGAAGAGAGCAAAAGTGAAGGACACTTACAGGGAAGAACAACAGAAGAACTACAGCAAGATGATCGTTGGCAATGGATCTCTCAACTCTCAGTCAGACTGATTGCGGCCCTGGAGATAAAGCTTGGCTTCCCAGAACTAGCCCTTAGAAATGGGATCGTGTGTGTGTGTGTGTGTGTGTGTGTGTTTGGGGGGGGGGTGTTGTTTTGTTTTATTGTTTTGTTTTTTTATTGTTAATCTTTTCTACAGGATAATTGTCTCTACCTCTTATGCCAGAGGCAGAACCCATCAGTGCACTTTTGTTGTTAGAGCATTAGCCTCCTGGATTGTAGGGTAGATGACTGAGTTTAAACAGATTCTGCCTTCTGTAAGATGATTATGTCATTGGTGATTGAATGAAATATTTGTACAGGAAAAAATGCTTTGAAAACACTTTTGGAACTCTTTTGTGTTTGTAATCATTGATATGGTAGTTCTCATAAAATACCCCAAACTCTTTTTCCTGATTAGCTTTCTCATGCCCTTTCCTCACACTTCGGTCAGCCTCTTAAACAGTGGGATGAGGTTACCATCATGGCTATGTTCTCCTTCAAGGCTGAGAAGAAAAATGGACGGTAGTATTTAGGAGAAAGGACAACTTTGTGGCCATCTAATCTGAAAGCTAAAAGGAAATGTTAATATTTTTTTACTACTGTGTTAGAAGAGAAATACCATCTAGTGAGCTTTACCAAAGAGAGGTGAGTCCAAGTTACTGTGTGAGTGCATTTATTTATATGTAGGTAAGTTGCAAATAAATACATTTAGCCAGCAACTGGTGATAACGTTTAGTTTTCCTTGTTTGTATGCTAAAGATCTGTACCTAGTGCCTGTCCCACCTACTGTAACCAAACACATTTCAAATAGGAGTCTTTTACAACAAAAAAATCACATTTAGTGTTTTCCGTGGGAGTATGAATGAGTAATGTGTGTGGCACTGCCCTTCACCCTCCACCACTTTGTAGTTTATTTCAGAACAGAAAAATTTTTCTTAAACAGAAAAATAAGTGGTGAAATTACCTTTTGGAAACTGAGCCTTAAATTTTTTAAAGTGGAAAATAAGTGCTTTTGACTCACAGCATAAACAATGTTTGATAGTAATATAATGCCATCTTAAACTCTGAGAGTATGATATCTTTTCTGGAAACCATGTACAGAATGTGAAACTATCTTATGGTGAATATAAATAAATTCTATATTTCTAAATGTGTTCTGCATTATTTCCCCCTCACACCTACCATCTTTTGGTTTTGAGTAAGTTAGATTCTTTCTCATTACAATGATTGTTTTTCATTTTAGTGACATAGTTAGATTTCATTGAACTGGAACATCTGGGAAATGAGAGCATGAGCTGCTGGTTTTAGCTTGTTTTCTTCTTTTATTTTGTCCTGGTTATCTGGACTCTGACCCTGTGGACTCCGTCTTCAGCAGAGTCACAGACTTCAGTTATTTTGCTGGTGAACTCAGGCAACTATCTCTTGATTGGCCTGGCACAGCACTGTCAGTATAGATTCTGACAGTTTTCCTGTGTAAGCAGACTTGCCAAAGCGTATTCAACTTGGTGATTCAACTAGTTAGATGGATTTGATCCCAAAGGAAAATTTGCAAACAGATTACCTTCCTGGTTAGTTACTCTGCTGTTC